ACTATAGCCTTGAGACAAGAAGAAAATATATACGCGGCGTATTTACAATTGCATATCGCGTTTTTTAAAGTTTCGTGTTCCAAGTCAATTCAGTGAATTTATTACAAGACCGTTCATGCTTGTCGCGGTTAAAGTTCTAAAAAAATATGACCGTGAACAAAGTGATTGTCACGGACAATCTTTTACGAAAGAAGATGGAAGGCCATTTTAACATTCATACAATCTCAAGATACGTTTCCTTTGATGTCTGCAAGAAAATCATAGATATTTGCGGCGTCACGTAAAGATTATTTTCTTGTGATTGTGTCCCTTTTTTTCCTTAGATGTCTCTTTAACCGTTGACTATCTGTTCTCTATAAGCTTAATATAAGCTTAATTTTTATTGTTCTGATATTTACATTTTAATTTTTAATTATGTATCATTCCTCCGTACTCAGTTTAGGGCAATAAAAAAATTTCAAATAATTTTCCTGACGGTTCAGTGGGATATATTTACTACATAGAAAATCTATAATAAATCTAGAAGTGACACGACGATATACCATATTCTACGACTTTCTATTTTCACTTTGTATTTTATTTCGAACATAATTTTTAATTTCTCAAGAATTTATCAAGCTACGCGCTTTTCTCGATAACGCGTAATATCTCAATTTTGGTTGGAATTTAAGGAGCGCGTAATGAGCATAAATTTGTACGGTATAAAATGTTAGCTACGGTATAAAAGCAGATAACCGAACAGATAAGTCGTAAACATGAATAATAATGACAGTATTATAGTTTGCGAGCATCGCAACAATTATGAGCTTTTTACAATAAGCCATTAGTCGTAACACAACACATAACACATAAGAAAATCTACCAATTACAATCCTTCAGAATAAAGATGAAGAATTCTGATTAATGGATTCTCTTATGTATAACATTTAACGGCTTATTGTCCCATAGAAGACCCATTACAAATATGTTTGCTATGTGTAAACACAGCCGCGAACTGAAAGTCCAGAAAGTAGGTCAGCGTGAAACCGGTTAGATCAATAAAAAATCGGGCTCGTCCGGGATTTGAACCCGGGACCTCTCGCACCCTAAGCGAGAATCATACCCCTAGACCAACGAGCCGTATTGAAAGATTATTACTTTTATAACGAGACGTGCACAACGTGCATAACATACATTTCCACATGAACGGCGAAAGTTTTCTAAAACGTAACACACTAGATTTTCAGAGAGCAATCATCTCATTGGTGACAGTATGTAGCTGGTGCGTAGTTCAAAGATACGTTTTATTAATTCATGCGTGACGACTGATTAAAGTGCTTTTTAACATCGCGAAGTCTGTTTTATCTGTAGAGCTATTATAAATGGAAGAATGGAAACGGAGAATGAACATAATTTCGACAACATTATTATTATTTTAAGATGGAAATGTTATTGCCTGATGCGTAAAATCGTAAATGCTGTAAAAATATTGATTTTACGTCAAAAAATGATCGGTTAATGTGTGTATACGGTATAATAATCTTCATATGTCTGTTAAAAAGTATAGTGATAGAAATTTTTGCTAAAAGAAGAAGGGATATATATCATCATGAAGTATCTTCACGAAATTTTGCTGCCTGATTCGCTTCATAGTTCCACTACGCTATCGTATTAATTTTTTTTGTTTTCATTATGTTACTATTATATTTAACTTTGTTACCGTGACCACGTGGAGTGTCAAGAGGAAAAAAGTTTTCAAGTGGCTCGTTGGTCTAGGGGTATGATTCTCGCTTCGGGTGCGAGAGGTCCCGGGTTCAAATCCCGGACGAGCCCACAGTTCTTATTTTTTACATCTTTACTTTTTATTTGCAATTAATAATACTAAATTGTTTATCTTTACAATGTGATCTGAGAAAATGAGGAGAAGGTTCGCAGCAAGTCGTGAAATTTTTATTTTCGTGGCTTATAACTGTTTATTTTCCTATCGCTATTTTCCAACCAATCATAATTATTATTTACGTTTAACAGATAAAAATTATAATGATATTGTTTTTAATATTTTATTAAAGTTTCCAAAACACTTGCCAATAACTTTCCAAGACACTTTCCAAGATACTTTCATTTACAAATGAAATAATTAGTAATCTTTAAGAGACTAAAAAATGTGGTAATAATGTGATAAAAATCACAAACTCAACCGGACAGAGTTATTATCTCCGGTGAAACTCACGATCATTTTTTTCCTGCTTAAAAACCGATAAATATAATATTTATATATGTTTAACTTAGATAAAATATATTTCCTATATAATTTATATTCAAGGATTAAATATTTATTTAAATATACGTATACGCTTTACTATCTTAAATAATAGATTACATATATGTATTAAATTAAAATAAATTAAAATGACATTTTTTATCTATTTCTGCCATACACCTAAAGTGGGGAATGTCCTACGACTCAGACTATTCGAAGATATATAAAGCAAGAGATTACAAGCAGTTCACAGTAAGACGGAATTCTTTTTACTAGAGTGCTAGAGCTACTCGTATTTTTAGAAAGACATTGAAGTTATTGAGAAAAGCAAGGTACGAAGAAAATCAGTTTGCTACGATATTTTCGTTTTAGAATTTTCATAGGACCTCCCGTGTTTGGATAATTATTACTTGTATATAAAAAAGAACGCACGATAAATTTATTCCGAAATTTATTTTACCGAAATTTTAACTCGAATTTTTTCTTATCAGTTTTTTAATTAAGTCTGTCTGTTGACTAGTGATTTCTTGACAACAAGTTATCACATTATCATTATATGAATTTTTCAAAAAATATCGAGTACATCTATTTATAAAAGTCATTAAACAAAATTATTAAAATATATCTCACTACTGGTCTTAGAAAGCGAATGAACTTATTTGTCAAAGAAAATGATATTAGCAGCTTACAAATAATTCAGTAATCGATAATTGAAGAAAACACGGAGAAAGAGAGAGAGAGAGAAAGTGAAAAGCAAAGACAGGAAGAGAGAGAAAGTGGAAAATGTCGATTACGCGCATGTAGCTGCTAATTGAAGTGTAGGTAACCGACAATTTTGGGGTACGAATGATCGTGTGGATGTAAAATGTTCCTTTAATTTTCTTAAATACTTAATTTCCGACGAGATAGGTCGAAACTGTGTCGTGTAGCGGCATGTTCCTTCGCAATATTTAAAATCGTATTTCGATCGTATTTCGATGTCGACATACAAGATAACTTATTCAATTTCTTCTCTGTACCCATACAAATAGTTTCTTGAGAGTAAGGCAACGATCTCTCACTTTCTAATTTTCACGATATTTTAACAGAAACGAAAACACGTGTTCACAGTAGTCATACATTATATAAAAGAGATCGCGGTAATCTTTAAACCAGCTTGAAGTGTTCAAATCCCTGAAGTCATCTAAAGTTGTACCTTATATCATATACAAAGTTTCGATCACGGTTCGCGTTTATATTTAGACTTTTTAGCGGTCTAAAGGTTAATAAAGAGTCTCAAAGCTTTGGAAAATATTTAAAAAGGAGAACGTCGAAATTCGTAATGAGTAATTGCGCAGTGTAGATTCGTTGAACCGAGTGATAGTTTTTCTACTACAGCCAAAGAATCCAACAATCGTGTGATAGCCACGATAATCACGAAAATGACATGATGTCTCGTGCAACAATGCGTCAATTAACAAGCCGCGGTATTTTTCCCATAAGAAGTAATAGCGGCTAGTCGTCAGCTGATTACAAGAGGCGGCTTCGCCGGCCAATCATTCTCAACATTAGAAAAGAATAAACGTCGTTTCCGGTACAGACCAATATTTCATGTGATTGCGGAGAAAGCAAGTGAAAGTTTTCTGTGTGACAGACAGTATTTAACTTTATGCGATGGTATCCACCCGAAAACACTTGCCTTATAATCGTCGGCCGGTCTGCACGTAGCACGTGCAATCGCGCAGCAAATTTCGATAGTTGGATTTCGAGTCTCACATGTCAAACAGTGCTCTTTATAAAAGTGACAGTAATATACGAGTCACCGATTTGAACGAAAAATCGCGACGACAACGACATTTGTACGAAAGTAGTGCTTTTAAAATGACATTCTCGTTGTCCTCATTGTAAGATACATTTTGTGAAAATCGAGAAATCTCGCGACGCGAATTGTGATTGTACTTGGTATGTTTTATTGTCAATCGTGCTTGAGAATTATTTTCGACAGTATGTTAATTATTACTTACTTGTTATCAAGAACTTTCGTAATGTTACTGTTACTATTTTTCCAAAAACAAGATCTGTTGCTTTCTAAAAACAGTGATCGGTTGTTCTAATAATTTCCTGACGATCGTCGAACGAAATCCCGGAATTTCTTGATGCTATAATAACTAGTAATTTAATATTATAATTTCTACGTGGAGAAAAGCTATAAATATCACACATTGTTCTCACGGCAGACTGCAGGAAGCTATAAAATTATGATAATTATTATCAGCAAGAAAGGAAGTGTTGAAGTGACTTAGATGTTCAAGGTCTTAAAGCTATTTCGCGTAAATGACAATAAGCGTGAAGTTTTCAGTCAAGGTTAAACCACTTTGGTAGTAATCGTAAAATTTATCTTTTACTACCTCATAGCGGTATTCCACGATATACAGTTATATTGTTATTAGATTTGGTTTCCGGGTTTGAGCCGCGTGGATTTTTCTTTGTCTGATTCCAACAACAGGAATCAAATAGGAATCAGAAGAATCCACGCGGCTTAAACCCGGAAACCAAATCTAATATTCGTGGACACTGCGAAAGCCTCAAATATTAAATATACAGTTATATTGTTATATTAGATTGTTCGCGAGAAACCATATACTTTCCTCAAACTCACACAATCGTAATCGACTTATTCTCTATCCGAAATAATAGAACAATTCCGTTCATCTTTTCTCCGCTCCGCTGTCAGACGAGTCTCAACTTAAATTGATTTTTTATTACCAATTCCCTGTTACAGCTGCTGTGAGTGTGATTCTATAATTTGGAACATCGGACTATAAATATGGACACATCGGAATTCGTGGAATTCGCCAAGACGGTTATTGACTTCGTCGTGGATTATACTAACAATTTGAGAGACCGAGATGTTCTGCCCAGTGTGGAACCAGGCTATCTCAGCAAACTGTTACCAGAAGAGGCGCCGCATAGAGCGGAAAAGTGGCAGGAAGTGCTCAAAGATGTGAAGCAATATATTGTACCGGGAGTAAGTTTTCATCTTACTTTTTACTTTTAAAAGGAAAATCTCTATGATATAAAACTCGTATATAATTGATATAATTTTTTCTTTAACGCATCGCTTGTTCTCACGAGAGTCGCGTTTTCCCGTCATATATTAATGCTGACGATAATCGCAGATGACACATTGGAACTCGCCGAATTTCTATGCATTTTATCCAACCGGTAATTCTTATCCCTCGCTGGTGGGCGAAATCTTAAGCAACATGTTCGGCTGCGTGGGTTTTTCGTGGATAACGTCTCCTGCTTGCACCGAGCTCGAGATGATCGCCTGCAATTGGCTCGGCAAAATGTTGGGTCTACCTAGTGAGTTTTTACGTCACAACGATGGACAAGGTGGTGGAGTCATACAGGTAATTATTGTTCAAAGAATTAGATCAGTAATTATCGTTGCTTTATTATTGATCCGTAAAATCGCACAATAGAACTGATGAAAACGGATTCTCTCTCTCCGCGTCTTTTTCTTTCTCACAAATACATGATATCTCGTTGACTCTTCCAAATTTGAAATGTAATTTCAATTTTTTACCAATTAAGGTAAATTTTATTTAAAAAAAAAGAGAAAAAATCAACGGGCTCGTCCGGGATTTGAACCCGGGACCTCTCGCACCCTAAGCGAGAATCATACCCCTAGACCAACGAGCCGTTATATCCATGAATCGATAAACCACAAGCTGAGATTTATTTCTGTATTATTTATAAATTTTACGATGCAATCTATTCAATTCCTTGAAATAAAAATTCGCGATATTTCTGTAACTGAATATAGGAAAGATTATATTCTCGAGTGTGATAAACGTCAGTCTCAATATACACGTTACAAACGATCATATAATGACGCGTTCACACACATCATAAGAATGTGTGTGAATTTTATAAACCTAATCATTTCGTATTGATCCTGTCATTATCAGGGATCCGCCAGTGAATCTACCTTTCTGTGTCTACTGGCCGCGAAAGATTATATGACGCGTCATATGAAAACTCTTTACCCGGACATGGATGAGCATCTCATTAAATCCAAGCTAGTCGCATATACTTCTGGTTAGTATCGTCTAACCTTTTAGAGCCCATTGTTCCAATTTCTTGGTAAGGTACCTAACAACTAAATTATGTGTTTGTCTCAGTTCAATTTGAAGAAAATACGAAGATAGGTACATGATTTAACTGTCAGGTAAATTATCAAGAGATTGGAATAATCAGCTGTTAGTCATAGTTTCTTCACTATCTCTCCAGTCAATCGACGGGATATTTTTCGTTCTATTTATTTTACAGATCAGTCAAACAGTTCGGTAGAGAAGGCAGGGGTTTTAGGATCGGTGTCAATGAGGCTGTTACCAGTGGATGATAAGTGCTCTCTGCGCGGAGAAATCTTAAAGAAAGCGATAAAGGAGGATGTGGAGAAAGGTTTCATTCCGTTTTACGTCGTCGCAACTTTAGGAACAACCGGTACGTGCGCCTTTGACAATCTCGACGAAATAGGACCTATTTGTAAGCAGTATGATATATGGCTACACATCGACGCCGCTTACGCAGGTTGGTGTAAATACGTTATGTTCTACATTCAATTTTTGAATAAGTAATTACTTTCCGCGTGGCATATCGTTATTGAAATATTACTATTGAAACTGGCGGGAAGAGAGATAAGTTTTTCTTTACTATATACAATTATATTGCAATAATTATAATTACACTTTTATTAATTTTCTTGATTGAATATTTTACGAGCTTGAAATTTATTATTATTGTTAATCATGACTGTTATTTTATTTTCTTTAATGCATTAAAGACATCTGAAGAATGTTTATAAAAGATAGAACGTCTTTTGGATGCCTTTTAGACATTTTTTTAGAAGTTTGTGCTTTTGCCTGGCTAAATAATAATATACTTTTTATATTACTTGAAAATATAATTAATAATAATGAGAATTAACTAATAATAGTTAATAAATACCAAATTATAGTAATTAACACATTAAGCGCCGTGTCGGTCACGGGTGACCGACGATGGACTTTTCGTTCAGACTACGTCGGTCATTAGTGACCGACGATATAAACTTGATTGTATCGTTCGGCGTAAACCAAAAGATAAATGAAATGGACTCGGCGCATAAAATGTTAATATACTCTCTCATATTCGTCATAAATATCGCAACAAAATTCATCACTCTCGTCAATTCCACTCATTCAGCTGCCGCGTTCGTCTGTCCCGAATATCGTTACTTGATGTCTGGAGTTGAGTATGCGGATTCCTTCAACATGAATGCGCATAAATGGTTGCTGGTGAATTTCGATGCCTCGATATTGTGGTACGTATATTGGTCTTACATAAGAAAGTAATTTGCATGTGTTGCACAATCAAAAAAGTCAATTACACTTTAAAATCCTCTTTCGTAACAAATATAAATATTCAACGCACGAACAATCTATATATATACAACAAACATGTAATCGTCAAGTCAAGATAATCATGTATTATGTAGTCAAAAAGCCAAAAGTCAAGAATATAGGATTAAAAGGTAAGAGGAATAATTTTTGTGCGCTACTACTCACATGTTGGCTCTACTGACCTCACTTTTATTAATTTTCTTGATTGAATATCTTACGAGCCTTAAATTCATTGTTATTGTTAATCACGACTGTCATTTTATTTTCTTTAATACATTAATAAATATGTGTGTGTACTGTAAAAAAGAAACCAAATAAAAAATAAACCAGTACTTACAGCCATTCCTTGCAGGGTGAAGGATTCGAGACGACTCGTGCAAGCGTTTAATATTAATAGGATATATTTGCCTTTAGAGAAGGATGTCGTACCTGATTATAGAGTAAGATTTTATTGCTTGTTGATATTCTTTTCTTAAAAAAGCTTCGTTTATTTATACAGTGTAATTTAAGTATCCTTCACTTCTATGATTCTCCGTGACACAGCACTGGCAAATTCCTCTGGGTCGGCGTTTCCGTTCGTTAAAATTGTGGTTCGTCATGCGCATATACGGAGTAGAGGGACTTCAGGAGTACATTAAACACGGTATCAAGTTAGCGCGTCTCTTTGAGAGCTATGTGAAATCGGACGATAGATTTGAAATAGTAACCAAGGCTGTCCTGGGTCTCGTTTGTTTTCGAATAAAGGTATATTTTTACATATAAATATTAATTTATCGGTATTAAGTGTAATTAATCAATTATAATGTCAGTTTTTCTCTCTGTACGTTTGATTCGAATCATTCGAATCGCTCTCGATAATTTTGCAACAACGAGATTACATTTTCTTCAGGGTGATAACAGTTTGACCAAGGAGCTCTTAGATCGTCTACAAGCCAGAAAGAAAATCTATCTCATCGCCGCGTCTTATCAAAATAAATTTATCGCCCGATTCGTCGTGGGTAATCAACGTTGTCAGGAGCAAGATATCATGTTCGCCTGGAACGAGATAACCACCCAAACGACAGAAATCTTGCGCGAGAACTCGATTGACAGCTCCATAAAATTAAGGAATGAAATCGGGACGAAAATAGAGATTTTGAATATAGAGACGAAGGATGTCTCACCGAAAATATCATAATCCATTTTTTCCATTTGCATAATTCATAGATCGAATCTATTATATCATCCTCTATTTTCTGTATCGTATATGTAATTCTATTCTTCGTAGATTTTGAAGCTATATGTGAGTAGTACTGTATAGATCTTTTCTATTATACCTTCACGTGAACGTTAATAATAGTATTGTAGATAACATGTAGATAGTGCAGTAGAGACTTTTGTTATAGATTTAGCTACGAGCTACAAATAACAAATTACGAAAAACAGGCAAAGTACGATATTATATAAAAAGATATTATCGTTGATAAGATATTATATAATAAGTTATTATACTACTGTTTATCATTTAAAAAAGGAAAAATCCATAGTAATGTATGTTTTGCTAAAATAAAAGTAAATTATTTTAATAAATATATAGACTTTCTCTCTTTTCCTCTCTCTTCCTCGTATTTTTTAGCACTAAACTTACGAAGGCACAGCTGTCAAAATTCACGCAATAATTTGACAGTCGCAAACGACACACGTGAAGCAAGCCGCATCGCGGCATTAAAAAGGAATGAGAAATTAAATATTTTCTTTCATAACTTTTTTTTTCATAATTCGCCAGTTTTTACAATTTATACTAAAGAAGATGCTCTTTCGGAAATCCAAGATACCAAAGTGCATACTGCAGCGATTTCTCATAAGGTATATATATATATATGCGAAGTAACAGCAACCTATTAAGTATACAAAGTCACACGTATTCTTTCCTAAAGAATACGTCATATCTTCGCGTGTCATTAATTTATATCAGTAAAGCTACGTTCTAATATTTATTTCCAGTACCGAAAATTTATAATATATGTAACGTACACTAGGTTTTTAGTATTGGCAATGAATATTGAAATACAACCTATTTACGTTATCTTCTTGCTGTATCACTAAGCTCTTGTCCACAACCTTATTTTAAGACGTAAGCCGTAAGAAATTGCCCAACCATAGTCGATTTTTAGAAGAATAATCGATTGTAGTTGGTGAATTTCTTACGGTCTTAAAGCAAAGCTGTAGACAAGGACTTATTGCTTGTTATCGAAGTTATTTATTATGCTAGTAAACTAAAACAGAATTTACTTTATTTACTATTTACTTTAAGGTTTGCAACTGATAAATTATGATCGATTGACAAATCGAACTTACAAGTCTAACGTTGTAGATTATTCTCATCAAATAAAGGAGGAGGACTAAATAAAAAGGATGCTGAATGCAAGGAAACGTCGAAACTCGAAACATGTCAATTGGATCCTTGCATGATAGATCCGTGCAAACCAGAACCAGCTGTTGTTATCATCGGCGCTGGCATGGCTGGATTATCAGCAGCACATCGATTGGCTCAATGCGGTTTTCAAAAATTTACAGTCTTAGAGGCGACGGATAGGTATTCGTTCATTACGTGCACCGTAATCTCTCTTGAACAACTGATTTCAAAGTGTATTTTTTTATTTATTTTATATTTATTCATGGATTAATAATTTGCGATATCTTTATGTGAATAGAAGCTTTAAAACACCTAAGGAATCCTACCATGGAAAACGAATAATTTACGCGACCTTGAGATCTTGTTTCACGGGTTGCACGGGCTAAACGACTCGTTTTGAATTTCAGACCGGGTGGTCGAATTCACTCCTGTTGGCTGGGCGACGTGGTGGCGGAGATGGGAGCTACGTGGATCGAGGGTGGCTGCGTGGCGAACCCGGTGTTCACGTTGGCGGCGCAGGAGGGTCTACTGAAATCGCCGCTCTGCCGACGACCAGATCCGAGTCACGGGATCTTCTGCACCAGCGAAGGCAGGGCTATTGATCTGCCGGTCAGCATCACGGCGTACCATACCTTCCGACAGATCGAGCAGCAAGCAGCGGCCCTCTTCACTTTTGGCTGCGGTCGCAAGCACGGTACGTTGCTGAATTTTATGGGCATCAGAATCCAGCAGGAGCTGCACAACTTCCCGGAGGAGCAACGGTACAGTTACCCAGGTCGATTTTACGAGAGATCTCTCAGCAGCGATGTAAGGGTCACCGCCAAAGGCTGGCCGCGAAGTTTGTGAAAGTCAACGAATTTCTTACAGTCCGAGCTTCCCTTTTGCTGCTGTTAACTCAGTTTCTCATCTTTTTTGTTCTTACGAATCATGATTTGTGTACAGTCTGTCAAGTAAGAGCGTGGTCGGGTTAATTTATAAAAAAAATTAGTAAACAAAATTTTCGAATACATATATGCATTGTACTCAATCAGAACAAAGATGCAATTATGTTAATAATGCGTCCAATCACCACCGGCGTCGATAATTGCCTGGCATCTTCGAGGCATGCTTTCGACCAAATTTGCCTATCGAGCCATGTTCCGGTAAATCATCGACATTTTTTTGCCATTGTATCGGTGCACCCACTTCTGTACGAATGTTTTTGACTTTCTCATGTATTTAGCAGCCGCTGATTGCGACATTTTCGGACCTTTCGGGTGAGCGCAAAGGACTACAGCCTCGTAGCGCGACGCGCTACTATTTGACATTCAACGTGTTTCTCTTACAAAAAATCAATTGAATCTTTCTTGGCAGTGCATCAAGGACAAAGTTCCTTTTATCGATTCACGACAGATTTAGGGCGATACTTTTTAGCAATTGTGAATAAGGCCGACCACGCTTTTACTTGACAGACTGTGTATTTACTTTTTACCTTCTTCTTTCTGTTACAGTATCAGAGAAGTACTCTTTTCTTTTTCTTCTATTTTCTTCATAATGTATCTTTGTATAATTCTTTATGTATTTTTGTTATATAATGTTCGACTCTAACGTTTAGCTGTACACTAAGGAACTATCAATCCCAGAGTGGAATAATAAACTCTAAATTTTCTATCTATTCTTCAAGTATATGTTTCCATCGTCTTTCGCCGTCAGCCAGAAGCGAGCATGACTGTTGCATTACTGTGCAGTCACGATTTGAAACTCCTGCGGGAAGATAAGGACAGGTTTATGATTTTGCAGATACGATGCTGCGAGGGTGATGTACGGTTTGACGAATTGTGTGAGGTGCCAATGCGGAGACGATCTCTCACTCGTCTCGGCCGATCAATTCGGCAGCTACATCGAAATCCCCGGCGGCGACATCAGAGTACCGTTGGGCTACGTAGGGGTGTTAGCGCCCTTGCTTCGCGATCTGCCCGATTGTTGCGTTAAGTTAGTAAGAAAAAAATACAAGAAGCGGAAGCAGCCGAATTAACTGTAATAAACTTGTCGAACATTCGGCGATGAAAGGTCTGTCGTTGTATTTTCAGGTACTGCAAACCAGTCGAGTGCATTCGATGGGGAGCAGCAAGTAAAACGCATCCCCAAGCTGTCGTCAAATGCTACGACGGCGATGAATTGCCTGCTGACTACGTTATCGTCACAGTCTCACTTGGCGTCTTGAAACAACAGCACGAGAAATTATTCTGTCCCAATTTATCTGCCGAAAAGGTCGAGGCGATCAACAAACTCGGTTACGGATACGTTAACAAGATCTTCCTAGAATATGCGAGACCCTTTTGGGTCTGGCGAGAGGGTGGCATTAAGCTGGCTTGGTCGGCAGAAGAGCTAGCGGATAGAGACGATTGGGTGAAAGGTTATTTTTCATATTATTAACTAATGAATTAATCAATTTCTGATGTGTGAAGCTAACAAACAGATATAAGCTAACAGACGATTCGTATTTGACTGAGCAGGTGTGACAAACATGGAGGAGTTACCAAGTTCTCAACACGTGCTATGCGCCTGGGTATGCGGTCATGAAGCATTGGATATGGAGTTGTGTTCCGACGAGTTAGTGGTGGAGTCGGTAACGCGGCTTCTTCGTCAATTCACCGGTGATCCCACGTTGCCTTATCCAGCTAACATTCTGAGGAGCAAGTGGTGCATGGATCAATATTTTGCTGGGGCTTACAGTTACATGGCGATAGACAGTACTGTTGGCCACCAATGCGATTTGGCTGCTCCTTTACCAGGTAACTCTGAATTTTTTATGTTCCTTGAAGTCTTGAGCGAGATAAAAAGAATATGTAAAAATATGCACGTACTTTTATAGAACTCTAACAATATCTCTAGTTCCTTATAAAACCGTCACTGAGTGTGACATTAGACTCTAAAAGATTTACTTTTCTAAAATATTTTACAAGGTATCGATTATTCTCACAGAACAATCGACAACTCGAAAAGAAATCAATATTTATCAGTTCAAAAGCAAATATTTGAATAAATACTTGTTTAGTCAACATAGATCCAGACAATTATATATATATATATATATATATATGCAAATTTTTTCTTAGTTTTGAACATAATTTTTAACTTAACACAGTTTGTATTGAAGACGACAATCTTCTTCAGTATCATGCTTAAATTGTAATATATTTTTCCCAGGATCCTGTGATTCTCCTACACTCTTGTTTGCGGGAGAAGCTACTATACCAGGACATCATAGCACGGTGCACGGTGCAAGACTCAGTGGTATCCGTGAGGCTGAGAGAATTATTCAATTGACGAAACGATATGGTTGCCCGCCGAAAAAAGTGCGCTCTAAGTCATAATTTAATGCCAGTTAAATGAAAATATGTCTGTGAAGAGAAAAAAATATGTTACGTGTAATAATGTTGATTATATAGTGATATCTTGTATGGAATTTATATATTGCATTATTTAAAAATAGTTTTCAGATATATTTTATGAAGTTACTAATTTCTTATGATGCTATAAGAAAATCCACTAAATGCCAATATTGAGATTCAGGTCTATTTAGTCGAGACTCAAACCTATTAGGCGTTTTACAAGTTTCCTGATGATACCGCTAAATGGCGCCAGGTAAACTGTTGATTAATTAAATTTTAGTTAATTAATCAAATTTAGTTAATTTTAGCAATGTAATTCGTACGAAGTAATTTAATTTAATTTAATATTATTAAATAAATGACATTGTTGAATAAATGACTTTTCTACCAAAACCGTATTTTTTTTCTTTTCTATCGTCATCTGCGAAAAGAGTAAATTATTATTATAAATTATAATGCCGAATTGCATTATTGGTATTTTATTTTGTGCATAAATTGTGAAACTGCTGAAAGTGACGCAAAGAGAAGGAAATACCGATTTTATTGCATTATCATAATTTATTTCATATAAACATTTGATACAGTTTTTTAAAATTTTATTTGTAGAGCTTATCTTTAGCAATAGTGTTAATAGTAGCTAAATCCTATAGGATATAATATATCAGAGAAAAATGGATGGAGTGATCAAGATTCAAAATTCGGTTTGGCATGGTACTGGTTAATCGACTTCGATACATTTAGAGATATATGAAATAAAATCGATTGCAAATAAGAACACGGAACATAGCTTTCATCATCGTATCGTAGTAGTGAGACAGTAAAAGATTAGTTTTAGCGATTGTAAGAAGGCATCTGCGCGCAAAATTGTCGTGTCCTTTCGATTCGCGGTAGTAGCTCAGCGATGATTCGTCGGCGAGTATACAATTCATAGTTTCTCCATTTGAGAGATCGTGTATTTTTCTTACTCAAGCACCTGTGGTTGCCGGTTCGAGTGCGAGTGTTAAAGCAAATTAGATGTGTTTCCGCATTTGGTTTTCTTAAGTAAAAAACGATTTAGGAATAATAATTCTTGAAAAATGTTCTTCTAACGCGGGAACGCCAAGTTTTTCATTTCTTTTCTTATCGTGTTATGTGCTTAAATGCACTTGACGACTGATCGATTATTCGGAACGTTCCATCGTTAAAACATTTCTATTGTTATCAAAGCATCTTCTCTACGTTCGCAAGTCTCGTGGAATTACAGCTCGCTGTCGAATGAGATACGTTCCGCTCCTTATCTTAGAATAACATTATCATTGCAAGATAGAAAAGGGCAAAACTAATCTCGAACGAGGAGTTCGCGTTCGACAATCGCAAGAACCGGCTCGAATTTTCTCTCTCCGCTTCTTCTTCTTTTGTCTCGCGCAAAATTCGCGTATGTATGTTGTTCGAAGAAACGAACTCCCCCGAGCTTCCTAGACGAGGTCACTCGATTTCAAAATAACGCAGGGTTCCCACACATGTGGAGATTTACGGTAATGACGTGTCCTATGTAAGATTCAATCGCAGTTCGCAGTTCTGCGAGGCGACAAATAATCGCTGGAAAATAAGGTACGTGTTTTCTTCTCTCTTTTTTTTCTTCTTTCGGTCTGTACGGCTTGTAGCTGCTTGAAAATCTGTACCGACTATGATCTTAACGACTATGCACACGTTATCATATAATAAGATACCTTACTTCAAATATACAGTGAATATACATCTATGCTTAGATCGTCAAAATATCCTCGCGATCGCAACTCAACGTACGAAGTGGAGACCGCTGTCGACGAGAGTACGTCTAACATACCGGGAAGTATATAACCGGAAAAGGTATTATCTTGCTTCCTTAATAATTACATTTACATGTTAACGCGCAAGGGAGAACTTATATAGCGATGGACGCAATAAAGATTGTCAATTAAATCAGCTTCACGGCGAGAATATTATCACAATTTAAGCATATCGTTACTAACTCGTATTTTTTTATGTATGGACTAGACTCGATTACTTATAGTAATAATAGTAGCTTCTTATCGTGTAAGGATATTGCAGAGAAACGAGGGTACTCGCAAGCTATAACAGTAAGTCAGAATTATAGATGTACAAGAGTTTGGCTCGAAACGGGCTACTATTCCGTATTCTCAATTTTCTCGTTAACATCCTACTTGTGGCGTACTTGAATCTTCTTTTTCTGTCAATCAAAAGTTTAAGTCCACGGTGTTGTACGTAGAAGATTTCTATAAATTCGAAGGAGTCGAAAGGATCAATTTTTATATATTCAGTCCGTGTGTCGACGGGAACATGAAGAAGACATCGGGAAGACTTTAGCACGCTGAATTTAAATGTCTTTTTTGGCCGTGAAGCAAGTCCATTGACCAGCTGAATTTAAATTAAAATCGGCAATCGAGAAGAATGATCATTTTATTCCAGTGAAATTATTGCAATCTAATTCGCGAGACTGTTATTCCGTAATCTTCTTAAGTTTGACATTTATCCACAATAGCACAATTATGTACGAAAGTACGAGAATACGCTTGTCAGTAACACGTTTCGATGCCATCTTGAGCTGTGTCTTGTTGCAAAGTCAATCAAAGTAGAGTGAGAGTTTAGACAATCGAAGATCGGAATGCAAACACAAATCAGACAAGTCCAAATCTCTCCCACATTGCGAAAGAAAGCCGACGGCGATTAAATGCGGACGACTCGATTCAATTTTATCAGATATTATTCGCTCTACTTCATCAAACAATGACATTCAATGTATCTTCTTTAACCACTGTTTCATATTGGAATATGGTCCTCGCATTGAACGATAAAAATCCTTGATATTACGTATGATATAATATTGGAGTAATTTGTTCGGAGAGACACTTGCCCGTCTGGATTTTGCATCCAACATATCTCGACTATACTAAAAATATAGACACATATCTTGCGTTACATATGAACATACAAAAAAGTATGACGCGTTATTGAGAATGAAGCGCGTAGGAGAAACGGAGTTCGCTTATTATCCTTAACGGAGCGTTATTTCTGTACAACGCGCCTGATACGATCTTACGCATTACAGTTAATAAATAATGATCGATGATTCGAAAAGTGTATATGGAAGAGAATATCTAAATATATATCGCTTTCTTTCTCTCTCTCTCTCCCACTCTCTTTCTCTCTTTCTCTCTATTTTTCTAACTTTACCTTTATACCACTTTGTGATATGCGGTTGCGGATATGTGAAGTTGTTTTTTTAGAAGCGCGTAGAGACAAGACAACTCGTTCTCAACGTTAATCTTAAAATAACTCTCTTTCTCTTTCCTTTGCATTTTTTTCTTTTCTTTGTGCTCGTACGATATCTTCGTTCGCGGATTTTGTCCCTCCCCCTCGTCGAATATGTTTTTTGATGTGAGAATTCTCGGGAATCTCCTCGATTTTGCAAGTGAAAATGCACCTAAAATTATTGGAAGGCCCATCTAGCGTCGCTAAATACGCACGAATTACACGTACACATATAAATAATGTATAAATTAATTAAGTACAAAAATTACAAACTTATTAACAAAATATTGGCAAGACTGGGTTCAGCCGAATGAACGGGCTATCATATCGCTTTTCACCTTTTCACCGCGATTGTTCATTTAATGAGATTCTTACCGCTCGAAAAAGAACTGGAGAAATAACTTGAGAAGTTCAAAACTTCGTATCAATTCCCGCTACAACAACTGATAAGCTTGTAAACTTATTATTTGCCACGAAGTTATGCGTTTGGTTTTGTCAGAGGTAATATAATACACTAATTTAATATAATATTTTGTCATGCTTGAAGTTTTTCAATCGTATTTTCTACGTTAAAGCTACAAGCGCAACTTAAGATTTCAAAATCAATTTTTACTTAGAGTTACAGCAGAATTATACAATCGACGTGTGTAAGCGGGAATTGCGCCTTTTTCCAAATCTTTGCCACATGACAATCCATTAATTATATTGCGAGATATTCTTCAAAAGAAATATATGCAGGAAGCCAAGAGTCGCGCGCAGGAATAGTGAATTTATATTTAAAACCTTGGGGGTAACTGCACTGGAGAGTTTCGATCTTTATAAAAAATCGTGTAAAAAGTGGAGAGTAGTTTTATCGCGAAAGGAAGAGAACTTATTTTACATTTACGCCTTGTCCCGGCGACAGGGATAGCATTAGATCGCTTCACAGTGCGTGTAACTCAGAGGGATCGCTTATACATATACGTATTGGACGTATACATATACGTATTGGAATGTCAATAATGCGTAATTTTTCTCATTTTAATGGTATCGTATCTGCTCGCTTACCAAGTAGTAACAATCACATCGACACTCTTCAAGCGTGTCGCTTCTCGCGCACTTTACGCGTCCCAACAAATAAAAAGAAAACGTATGTCCTCGCAAGATTCGATCTCTCGGAGCGCGTTCGATTTTCGCCTAAAAAGGACCACCGTGGTTTACGTTTCTGCATTAGCAATTCGTATCTCTCTCTCTCTCTCTCTCTCTCTCTCTCTCTCTCTCTCTCTCTCTTTCTCTATACATCGCTCCCGCGCATCTTTCACAATTCCTCGACGAGTTTCCTCTCTCTTGTCGCCGTTCTTCACGCTCAATAAATATTACGATCGTGTACGCCTTCCGAAGAACGTTGTGTTTAAATTACCTAACACATATCACAGAATTCATATTCTCCTTTAGAAAAAGAAACGAAAAGGGAATTACACAGACGTGCAATCGCACGGGAGATACAAAAGCGTTACGCGCGGAATAGAATTATATAAACACATGGACACGTAGTTTGATACAAACTAAAGTCGCGTATGTTGTGCTTTATCAAAGTCCGATCTCGAGACGACGAATTTTGTGCTCGTGGGTATAAAAAATACCGTTCGCTGGTGTTTGGTTCGAAGGAATGTCGTTCATTAATACCGCTCCTGCTTCAGTGTCCGGGCAGTGATCACCGTGTTCTTTTTCAGTTCATCACAGCAGAGTCGAAAATATCTGCATGTTTATGCCACGTTCAAATATTATCAGATCGTAGCACAACAATGCATTGTACAATAACGATTGTTCTTAATTTTATCTTGTTTGAAGCGCACGAGCTTCGTTCTCGTACTTCCAAATGTACTCTTATCAGACTTATAATTTTCATAGTAAAGATTATTCCACATTTAGTAAAATAATATAAATTTAAATGATATATTCTCTAATTTTAAGAACGTAATTTTTTTTTTAAATTAACACGAATAACTGGACCTTTATTTATTTATTTATTTATTTTAATAAATGCCCAGTTTTTGAAACGAAGGATTCACATTAAATCAATCGGACTGTGGTCTACATCTTTTCTAGAGCGCTTATTGCCACTCGTCGAGCAATCGCTGCATCCTACAGTGGGGAACAAATAAAATCGCAAGCCTTGTGATCGCTGCCCCTCACGCGCGCACACACACACACACACATACAAGCTCCACGATCAGTGTACATGCTGACTCAAACTATGAATCCTGAAGAACATCCACTTAATACACGTATCGGTACGGATAAATTAATGCAATGAAAGTTACGTAATAGTAGATTGGTTATTAGCTGCGTAATGTGAGTATGTTACAGTACTATACGAATACTTTTACTTTTTTTTAACCGACATTATCTGTATGGTACAGTGACGCGTCTTGGAATCCGCTTCGGTGAGGACATCCTCTTGGAGATATCTGCAAATGGACACACAGACACATTGAATATATTCAGACGCACGTTAAAACAAATGGAAACATTAAGATCAGTAGGAAATCATTTCTTCAAGTGTCAATCTTATCTAGAGAAGTTTCAAAAGTATCCTTACCTAAGATAAAGAGTAACGCGCGAGTGAATATATATATCTGAAGTATTTTTATCTAAAATAAGTAAAAATGTATAGTAAAGTATTTCTTTTAGTAACTAATTTTAATCTTCATCTTTGGTAAACAGATTTACACACAAACACACGGGATATTTCAACTATCCATTTTCCTCTTGAATCTTTTACTTGAGCTATGAAATTACAACTGCAAAATTTATTTGCTGTGGTCCCCTAATTGTTTTCGAAATAATATAATACTTTTTTACGAAACTATTGAAGTAATGAATCAAATGCATACCTTCTTCACTGATATAGAGCGAGGCCGAGGTGGCGAAGGGACTATTGGTTGAGCAGGGTGTTAGTCACCTCAGAGATGGACAACAGAGGACTCCCGGCGTCCGGTTTGGAATCTGTGGGACAGTTGGGCCCATTCCCGCCGCTGCTGCTGCCGCTGCCGCCGCTGCCGCCGCCGAGGATCCCACTACGTGATGGTGGTGGTGGTGGTGGTGCGGAGGGTGGTACAAGACGTTGCTGTTGCTGGTGCTGTTGTCCGCCCCGGTGCCCATGCCCATGCCTGCTCCCACCCCCGCCGTCCCCGTTCCCGCAGCTGACGGTGGCGTGCTGCAACCAAATGGACGGTCTTCCCGTTATCTTCACGTGTGCTAAATTAAGCTCCTCTTACTCCAGATAGTAACACAGCGCCAAGTAAGCACGGCTAGAACTCTGTTCTCTAATATCGCTGAGGAAGCAAAAGCTTCTTCTTCTTCAGTTGTTCGATTCGTACATCTTATTTATTTTCCAAACGTGCTTCTCTTTTAGAAAAATAGAATTAGATATAGTTTCATAATCATGTAAACGTTATTGTGTCATTTTTACGTAACACTCGTATATATTTTTGAGGTTCTTTAATTGATGATGTTGTTGCTAAACGATTATTTAGAGTTCAAGCCGTATCCATAGAGTTCAACGCTGACAAACTGTAATAATTCTTGTAACAGTGATGGTGAACTTGGTAAATAATTACTAACAAAGTTATGTGTACGATGACATAGAAAATAAACAATCGAACTTTTGATTCGTCATGCATTTTTTTTGATACGACATGTCAAGTGGACGAGTATGTTCGACAATATAGAACTCACAAAAATGAATACAGTTTTGCATATATTCGTAAAAGTGTGTACCCATTTTTACAATTATTAAGCGTGTTAATAATTCAAAAAACTGCGTCCAACTAGTATATGTCGTTTACTAATAAGATGATCGAAATTTTCTAATTCCATAGCTCAATAAGAAACACTTATGTTCCTTGTAGTACACTTGCAGTAGTACACAATCGCGTTTCCTTCAATCTATACGATTGATTTTGCCTTTCAATAGGGAGATGCCTGTGTATGTACGATGAGACTCCAATCATCAACCATTACTGTCACGAACGATCAATTTGTGCACAAACAACATTCCGTATACCGCAAACAGCATTGATTACGTACCGCCATTTGAGTATAAAATGGTCGGAAAAAATATTCCGTCAAAAGTAATTTTATGAATTTATATATATATATATATATATATATATATATATATATATATATATATATATATATATATATATATATATATATATATATATATATATATA